TTTGGAGGCGTTTGTGGGCGATTTGTGGAAGGCTCGGTTTCGTACATCAAACGTTAGAAATTTTTTTCGTAGAATTTCTTCTTCGATCTTTTCCAAGCTTTTTCCACTGGACGCGAATTTGCCATCTTCAAGCCCCATTACTTCCTTCAAAATCCAATTATGAGATCAGAGGCTGTCAGAATTTGCGCGAAGAGTACTTCAAAAGTGTAAAAATTCCCCTGAAGTTCTTTCTGCCTTAATTTCCTAAGGGGTTTCTAGAACCCAATTCAGTAAGTTCACTACACTTTTTTTCCGCTTAGATTTGATTGATTTGGAGGCATCAAAATTTTTTTTTTTAAGTTTGCTTGGTCACGGCGCCCCTGACAGAGAGGGTTTTATGGAAAACCTGCTCGGGTATACGCCGTGCACCTATCTGTGGGCAGAGTTCGCACTCGCATTTGAAAGTCTTCTGTTTTCCTGAAGAAGGTGTTAGTATCCTGATTGAGTTGCATTGTGCTGTTATATGGCACTCTTGTTTCACTTTCCCATGAACTGCTCTACACTTTGGGATTTCAGGAATGTTCGATCATCGAAGACAGACCATGTTTTTGCACTACGCTGTAAGTTTTTGGCTATTGTAATCTTGTGGTGATCTATGCTGTCGAGCGAAAGCGCCGTCCGTGTATTAAGGATAATAATGGCTGATAGTGAGACTTATAATGCTCTGCATGCTCTAATGCTCCCATGGAGCTCTTGTCTGTGTGACTCTCCGACAGCTGCACGGTGCAGAGCTCCTGGAGAACATTAGAGCGTGAAAGTGCACTGCCGGACACTGCACTTTTCAAGCCGTCTTGCAGCCCCGTCTCTCTGGATACGACCCCTCCCTATTCGTGCGCAAGCGGTTGAACCTGCATGGAAGGCGCTTGGGGAGTACGGGACAGGATGGCTCACAGCTTCCTGAACACGGTAACTGCGGAAGGAAGGATGCCGGATGCCTGGAGAACTATCGTCCCCATCTTCAAGCAGAAGGGTGACGCGATGGACTGCTCCAACTACCGCGGGATCAAGTTGACTGCTCATACAATGAAGCTGTACGAGCGACTGGTCGACTCGAAGCTGCGGGAGCTGGTCCCGATCTCCCAGGAACAGTTCGGGTTCATGCCCGAAAGGTCTACAACGGATGCCATCTTCATCGCCAGGCAAGTGATGGAGAAGTATCGAGAAAAGCGCCGACCCTGCTACCTAGCCTTCCTCGACCTGGAGAAGGCGTTCGACCGGCTACCGCGAGCAGTACTATGGAGAGCGCTCAGGGAACGGAACGATCTCTCTGGTGAAGGACATGTACGAAGGAGGCCAAGGCAGCCATACGCACCCCACACGGCCTAACAAAGGAGGTAAACATCACGGTTGGGGTGCACAAGGGTCAGCTCTGAGCCCGTTCCTCTTCCTCCTAACACTAGATGTCCTGGTGAAGGGGCTCATGGAGGGACCACTGAAGACCATCCTCTACGCTGACGACATCGCCTTGATAGCGGATAGCAGAGAGGAACTTCAAGCCAAGGTGCAGAAATGGCAGAAAGTCCTGGCAGAAGGTGGGCTCGGCTGAATGTCAAGAAGACCAAGTTCCTGAGCTCTGAAGAGGGTGCAGAGCCGATCGTGGACGGCCATGGTGAGACATCGAAAGAGTGGAGGACTTCCGATACCTTGGGAGCGATCTGGCAGCCGACGGTAGTGTGGATCAGGCAGTGAAGGCACGAATCAACGCGGCATGGATGAAATGGAGGGAGTCCACTGGAATCCTCTGCGATCGAAGGTGCTCCAGAACACTCAAAGGAAAGGTGTATCAGGCAGTGGTGAGGCCTGTGATGCTATACGGGACTGCGCGGGACTAACGCTAGGGAGAAGATGAGGGGTGTTCATATAGCCGTAGGGGTATCACAGTTAGCCTATTACAAATATTTCGAGAACTGCGAGCTACCCGATTATGATAGCGGTTCATAACTGATGGAATGTTCATTCCTCTAACTGCCTTATTACTCACTTCATTTTACGTACGGATATACATACACACAAACAGCCATATATATCAGGCGTTTCAGAAAGTTCTGTCGTTTTCCAACCCCTAATTTTAAATGCACGTATCTCGGCTTAGACTGAACCTTTCGAGTTGATTAAAAAACCATTCGAAAGCGCGAATCTTTTTCTATAAGAAGCCGTTCAACTGGGTACGTTTGTTTGGAATGCTGGACCTCTGGAGGCGATGAACTGAGGGAAGGTCGTTTTAGCATCATGTTGGGTTTTGATGTATTTCTCTTCAAGGAAGCTATCGAGATCGTCAGAAATTTGACAGTAGATAGATCAAAGGTCTACTAAGTAAGATGTTCGCAGAACCACTCTGAAGTTCAGCTGGTACAACTTGTGAAGGGTTGGCCGTGCGATGTGCGTTCAAGACACCTTTCAGGGATGTGTGCGTTCCTTTATAATAAGGAATGCTGGACCCATGCCTACAAGGAAAAGATCCCACGTCGACATGGCCTTTCAAGATGAGATGCATATTTCTGTACCAATCTTGGACGCTGAATTCGAATCCGCCCTCCAAATCTGCTAAACGATTCTCTGAACGAAGTTGCGAAATCGTTTATCGGCGGGGAGTGCGTTCATGAGTCACTGGAGCCGCAACGGGGATGTGCTTCGGTGGCGCAGTTGGTAAGCGGATGGACTTGGGGACTCGAGATGGAGGTTCGAATCCTTGATGAGTGTGCTAGTTTTGCCTTTTATCCTTTCGTCTCCTAAACTTTTGCAAAACGGTTCTAGACCTCTTTTTGACTAGTAGCACGCCTTTTCGACCGCGAACACGTGCTGAAAACAGGGTCTCGACGGAAAATTCCGTTTCAATGAGAACCGCAAGCATCTTCCGTTTATGTAAAGAACCTGAAGACTTTATTCAAGGCGAGTATTACTAAAATCATTTAGAAACGTTTAAAGAACACATGTGATATCCTATTACAAAATGGTTGAAGCAAAAACTTTTCACAGTGTGAGCAGCGAATGAAGAGAGGGTCACTGCAGTCATCACTTTCACAAGCTTCTTCCATTTGAGATGAAAAACAGTACTGTACAGGTGTCTCAAATTCGCCCGGGTGTGTCTCAAGGTACCCTGCTGCGTGCCATGAGTAGGAAAGAAAATTCTTAAATCTAGGTGCCTTAAATAGGAAATAGACCAATGAGACAAGTCTTATTATGGAGTCGCGAGTGCTTAACCGAAAGTTCACATCATGAGCAATAACGTACGAGTTGAAACGCTTGGCCATAGCTTTAAAAGGCAGGAAAAAGTAAACGTCAAGGGGCTGGACTAGTGATGTTGTGATGCTTTGGGCAGAACATTTCGCTGGTAGTCTGATGACGAGTATATTGAGGAGATGACTTGTCGTGCTGCTTCTTGTTTTTCTTGTTTGGGGTAGCGCGTGAGCGGCTAAAGGTTTTGCTGGTCAAACATGTTGTCAAATACGATTGCCGAAAGGTGTCGAAATGCTGTGAAATCGAGCGATGGAGGTTGCGTACAATCCTCTCCTGGTCATTCCTTGAGCATTGGTGGTTGAAATGAAATTTATGCTCAAAACCCTGTTTTCAGCACGTGTTCGCGGTCGAAAAGGCGTGCTACTAGTCAAAAAGAGGTCTAGAACCGTTTTGCAAAAGTTTAGGAGACCGAAAGGATAAAAGGCAAAACTTCCACACGCATCAAGGATTCGAACCTCCATCTCGTGTCCCCAAGTCCATCCGCTTACCAACTGCGCCACCGAAGCACATCCCCGTTGCGGCTCCAGTGACTCATGAACGCACTCTCCGCCGATAAACGATTTCGCAACTTCGTTCAGAGAATCGTTTAGCAGATTTGGAGGGCAGATTCGAATTCAGCGTCCCAAGATTGGTACAGAAATATGCATCTCATCTTGAAAGGCCATGTCGACGTGGGATCCTTTCCTTGTTAGAGTTTTTGATGATTTTTGACTTAATATAAAGATTGATTCTCCACTGTAACAGTTCCACCTGATACTGAAGAACATGGCCAGCCGCTGACCCCATGAAAGCTGCCACAACCCTCCTCCAGCACAGTTTAAATTCTGCAAAGTTTGTAGAGCTTCATCGCCGTCGATCTATTCAGCAAAGCTTCGTGGACTATAGAGAAGAATCCGCTCTTTATTGTACGTCGCAAATCTGTAGAGAAACGAGTTTTATCACATAAAACAAGCGACAATTTGATGGACGACCTTCAAATTGGTGATTTGTCGCGGCACGCCCCTATCAAATTTTTTGGACTTTCCAGCTTCTTCCGTATAGCTTGGCTGTACAAACCATATACGCCCAGGTTGGGCAGAACCTCCTCTATGGTCTTACGCACGAGTGCTTCAATCAGAACTTTTGGCTAATCGGTGGCAACGTCCGATATCCGACCACTACTCTCATCATATTCAAGGCTCTCGCTTTCGTTACAATAAATTTTTTAACTACTGCTTCTGAGCACATTTATTGCAAATCTAGGCCAAGTGCATCGTTAATATCTTGAACTGTTCCCGCCACTTTCAGGTCTATTTAAAGCTAGAAAAAGAAAGTCATGCCAACTTGCTCATCGAGTATACCGCATTCAAAGCTTTGAAAAAGCTATAAGAAAATACTTTAGGACAAAGCTGAGCTAGAGCTGGAAAAGCTCTTCAAAATGATATCAACATCAATTGCAGCTTTCCCAGATTTCAAGGGAAATAAAGCATCCAAAAGTGGAGTGTCAGAAAACGACAGAACTTTCTGAAACACCTAATACAAACCGAAACACCAAGTTAGCGGTTTATAAAGTAGAAGGATGTTGGTAAAAAGTTCGCCGACTTTGATGAGATTTGAAGTGGTTATGTGAGGATTTCGTAAACTGGTAGCAGTGCTTCTCAGAGTAAGGACCATCGCTAAAATCACTTTGTTTTCAGTCTTTCACCCTTGTTTCTGTATAACGGTGTCGTAGATTTTGTGAAGTGATGACTATTGCTTTAGAAATCGAGCTGCATGCAATGGTCTATGAAGGCATGGGAAAGTTCCTAGAATCAGAGAAATTATTAGGCACCGACGAATCTCGAGCACTTCTTTCTACACCTCCGACATTCCTAATGGCCCGTAGACTTGAACTTCTTATGCTCGCTAAGGATTATCAAACTGTGATGGATAGAGCCATTGAGGGATTGAGCATAGAGTACGTTCTCGTTCATTTGGACGTATAATACAAATAATATTGGTGTTGCTTAAGCTCCTCTATTTCAGCTCTGATGACTGGATTCTATGGAAGATGTTGTTTGATTCGTCATTCGAGCTGCTGAAGGAAGCGAAGAGTGAGGAAGAACAGTCAAAGTAATTATTTTTTTGCTCTGAATTGGTGTTCCTTTGTGCACTTAAAAATGGGCAAAGCTTTTCACTCCTGATAAATTCACTTTCGAAGGCAGTTTTTTTGTCATTGCAAAACCCCATTCGAAAATCCATAAATGATCATAATTTTTCCGAGTCTTGTTCTGAATCGTGATAATTTTCAAATGGGTTCACCGTTTCTTCCTCGTTACTCGTTGGCCTTACGCTACAATGACAGATTCTTGCGCTTGATAGGTTAGACTCCCAAATTACGTCGGGAAGGGAGGGTGCAATCGAGGCTCATCAGATGCTCACTAATTTCTTCTCTACTTTTCACTATTCATCTGTATATAGGCATATATTGCACGTTCTTCACCAACGCTATGTTTGTAACAAACGTCTCTACATACGAATTTCCCTTTTCTCTCTCATCTCGGTGGGATATTCTTGTCTTCTTTGATTTCTTCACGCAATTGGTCTTTCATGAAATTTAAATCTAATAGGCAATATTCTCGAATTATTTTTCTTTGAATGTTGACATTTTTGTAATTTTTTGTGCTTCAATATGCTCTTTTGGAACTTTCGACTTTCTCTCTCTCGGTAGAGTTCCTCCTGTATCTTGAAATCGGTTTCTCATCTTTGCGTGAAATTATGTAAACTTTTTCTTCTCAGTTTGTCACATATAGCGTTTATTTCATGATCTTGGATGCACTATCACAAACAATCAATGCGGATGGCATGTCCACGAGTCGATTACGCGGACCACATCTCGCTCGGTTAGAGCTTTTGGGAAGATTCTTCCGTCAGGATGAGCCCATCCGCGCTCTTTCCGAAAAATTGAATTTAGGTAAGTTCCTTCGTTTTCCTGTAGCATATCACGATTGTTCAAAGTCATTTCTTTTCAGGAAAAGCAATAGATCTGATGATAAACTATGTGCTGAGGTTTTATGCAAAGCCTTGCTGCTATAATGACATCAGTCAGGTGAGCTGTGTTGTCATCTTAGGTTGTCTCTTGATCGACTATTTGCTACTCCTGATCTAGTACCTATGGATGTTGGATGATGCCAACAAGGAAGAGCTGGTTGATGGCCTGAAAGAATTTATCGACAGTGTAATACATCAAAGGGAGCAGGCTGGGGAAGATCGTGTAAGTTTTTTTTTCCTAACGCAGTCATTTTATCACCATAGTAGCGCGCTGCCCTGCTTTCCTTGTATTTCACAATTCCTCTTGCCTCATTCTAATATTGGTGATATTGTGGGATAATCGTCACCGTTAAAGGTCGTGATGATCCTAGCAAAGTAAGTTCAGCCGCGTCAGAGCCTATCACGAGTATTTCCAGAGAAGTGGTTTGGGTATGGGTAGCATTTTATTTCACGCAGGTGCAAAAAGGGTACAGCCGATGATGTACACCAGCGTTGGTCACTGCGCATGCTTTTGTTAAGTCGTTTTATGGCAGGTGATTCCAGGATGCGAACTGCTGGGCGGTAATCATGAATGAGCGTCTTCGGCGAACGATAGGAACAATCGACAGAATGCCAAGGAAGGATAGGAGGAGACATGTTCAACTTATCATTCAAGGAATTCTGCAGGTACTGTCACGATATTGTTTGGAAGTCATAAGGTGGATCACAACAGTCAATTCTCCCTGGATGGCCCTTTTTTATAACATTGGTATTTTCAAGAATCTAGGGAGCATGATTTCATTTGCAATTTTCTTATTCAAGCCGATGAGCGTCACAGAAAACTACGAGATCTGAGCTTCCTAAATTGGTGAATACGTCCTAAAGAGTGACCGGTTACAAATAATACCGTTGCTAAATTTCTTCTTCTTTATCGAAGCGATATCTGCGTTTCATTTTTTCCCGCTCTTCTTGAATTTGGCCCTAAAACTTCAACGTTCGTATAAATCCATTGTCTTACTTGCTACGTGTCTGTCAAATTTCAAGCGTTTTTTAATAACTTTTACCTAACAAGTGAGAGCGCCACACATTTGGTTTTTGTTTATGGTCGCAAGGCAAGTTAAGGGAGGTTTATTCTCCTCTGCATGGCTAGTGAAAGCCTATTCACCAATAATCTTGTTTTGGTCAAGGCTAAGCCTATAACTGCTAGTAGTCACCGGCTAACTGGTTCAATTTCCCCTGTCGTTCTGTATGTGTTTGTCACGAAATTCCCTAGCTCCTCGGGATCCGCCTGGAGAGACCGGGTCAAGTGTGGGATGGGTGGGCAAGGTCTCACGAAGTACAAAACACATCAGCTAAGCGGAGCCCCGCCCACAGTGGGCGTGGCGTGCATCGAAATGAACTGTACTGACGACCAAGATTTCGATTTCAGTGACAAAACAGCCTCGAAACTGGGCCAAAAAGTGGGTAAAGGTGTGCATTGGTAAGTCACATCGAATTAGGGAGACCCACCCCCGGTGGGCGGGGCGTTCTCCAAAAAAGCAGTGCTTTATGAAAAAATTCATAACTCGGTGGTGAAAGTTAATAAAGCAGGACAAATCGGTGTAGCGAAGCAATGTCTAACAAGAGAGGTCTTTCAGGGCAAGGTACGCTTTTTCAAAACGGTTTTGTGCATATTGTAGGGACGCATGTAGGGAACGCAAAACCATGTTTCATTTTCGCTGAACGGTTATAGCAGTACCAAAAAAGAAGCATAAGGTACTGTTAAGGGTTCGATCCCCGTGGCGACTAAATTTTGCATTTTGGGTTGGCGCCTACGGTTTGGTGCCAAATCGCGCTAATATCAAAATCAGATGTCAAATTCATCGTCAGGACCATTTTGAAGCCAACAAGTGGCCGCCAACCTTGATTGCAAAATTTAGTCGCCGCGGGGGATTGAACCATCAAGAGTATTATTCACCACTTTTTGGTACTACTAAAACCGTTCAGCGAAAACGAAACATGGTTTTGTGGTCCATACATGCGTCCCTACAACATGTACTAAACCGTTTCCAAAAGCGCACCTTGCCCTGAAAGACCTCCCTTGTAAGGTGACCAGCATACAGTGCGTATCATAAGTATAGACGCACCCCTAAAATTACCGTAGCCGGACTCCACAGAAGTCCTTGGCAAACAGGCTTATCACCATCTGAATCAGCATGCGCGAAAACCTATGTTTACAGGCTTCCACGTGAAATGGAAGAATTCGGCATTTTTTAAATAGGTGAACATTATTTTGGCTGTATCAAAAGTATAGACGCACCTCGGAAATCTAATACATTTGTTATGAAAACAAACATATAACAACTTCTTAATAATTAATTGTTCCTCCATGTTTAAAATTGATTTCAAAAATTTGATTTGGCATTGATTCAACTAATCTATAAGCAATTGCACATCCAAACAATCCCATGCCTGACCAATTGCCATCTAAAGATCGCTCACTCTATCAGAAGTTGTTCCCTGGTGGTAAACATCTCCGACAAAGATGCCCTAGATGCTCTCTATGAATAATTATCAGGATAGTCCATGGCGACTATATTTCGCTCCTCTAACCATGATTTTGTGAACCTGCTCGCGTGGGTCGCCACGTTGTCTTGTTGGAAAAGTTCTCCTTCTTCGGAACGTGCCAGAAAAGGTAGTAGATGACGACGTAGCACGTCCTGGTAGTCCGACGAGTCCATATGAGTGGAGGTGAAGGCGACCTCAAGCTTCCAGTTCCGATGGAATCCTACCAAACTATCACACTGCCTCTACAGAAATCACGTCTACTGAGGAACTTCAGTTCCTTGCGGAGATCTCCCAAGTAGAACGCATTTCCATCTGAGCCATCCAAGTTGAACTATTTCTCGTCAGAAAATAGGACCTGAATAGGAAATTTCAACTCAGAGAGCTTTATGAGGAGGACGTGTATCTTCGATTAATTTGTTGCCATTTTCTTTCTGACAAACTGGGGCCGGGCCTCCTTGTAGGCGTCGGTAAGTGGGAAGCTGGGCGGAGACGACACCTAACTATGTTGTTGTTGCGCTTGATTGCCCTACATATCGTCATTCTGGACAATGGACCCGGTAAGGTGGCTCGAACTCAACTGTTGCTGATAGTCGAGTTGGAATAGAGGCGTCTAATCGCACGTTCCTGCTGTGGAGTTAGCTTCTTCGTCCTTCCAGAACTCTTTTTTTCTCCCGCAGTATCCTGGGTCATGTAGAAATCGGTCGATTGACCTTGATGAACGCTGCACTTGTTCAGTATTTCGACAATTGGTTAGGTATGCTGTGTACAGGGCGCGAACCTGTACCTACTCGGTTTCTAAAGAATGCGGACCTCGTGGCATTCTTCGATATTGTGCAGAGTACTCATTCCTAGTTATTTCTTTGCTGGAATGGAAAGTTGTTCATGTGTAGCCTATTATTTTAACCAAGTTAATGGAGTGCGTCTATACTTTTGATACAGGCAAAATAATGTTCACCTGTTAGAAAAAGGCCGAATTCCTTCCAATTCACGTGGAAGCTGGTAAACATAGGTTTTCGTGCATGCTGATTCAGATGGTGATAAGCCTGTTTGTCGGGAACTTCTATGAAAGTCAGCTTTGGTACTTTCAGGGGTGCGTCTATACTTATGGTACGCACTTTATACGACGTGAGCAGAGGCCCGTCCACTATGGACGGAGCGTACCCTGAATTACAAGGCGTTTCCTATAAGTCCCCATAATTCGCTTTCAGGAAGTCGTGGAGAGAAAAAAGGTGGATAAGGTCAAGAAGAAGGGGAGGCTGGATGTTAATAGTGGGCGCGACGTGTGCAAAAGTGGGAGAGTTTTTAACAAATTTATGTCTCGTCCAAATAGTCGAGGAGACCGGGAAAAAGTAAATATCGATTAGCGAATGATATAAAGCTTCTGCTACCGGTGGGCGGGGCATGCACCGAAGGAGGCGGAGTCATCCACGAAACATCATGGCTCGATCCCAAGAGGTCTAGGAAACCGAGAAAAAAGTGAACCGAGTCTGACAATGGGAGGCCAATTGTTATTGGTGGGGCGTGCGCCAGTGTCGGCGGAGTTTGCGTCGAAGAGGTCCCGGAGACCGAAAAAAGTGGATAGAGATCAGCAAAGAATGTGAAGTCAATTGCTATTGGTGGGCGGGATGTGCACCAAAGTGGGCAGTTTTTTTGGCATATCTCGGTTAGAAGAAGTGTCAGGGATCGGGAAAAATGGATAGAGGCAGGCGAAGAGAAGGAAGTGAATTCCTACTGGTGGGCGTACGTGCGTTAAAGTGGGCGTAGTTTTGCCAAGCATATACTGGCTTAGAGACATTTCAATGACCAGGAAAAAGACGTGGAAGAGATTGACGAGAAAGAAAAAGGTGGGTGGGACATGCACGAAATAAGCGGAGTTTACCACGAGATTTATAAATCGGAGTAGAGGCAGTCCGGAGACCGGAAAAAAGCGGACAATGGTTGACGAAGAAGAAGAGGTCAGAAGCCATCGGTGGATGGAGCGGATAGAACCTAAAAGCATAGGGAGAGAAGAGATCAAATATGGGAAGAAATGACGAAGTTCGATAGTTTCTAATTTAATCTCCCTTTAAACGTGTATGCCTGTTTTTTTTAGATTCGACGAAGTTTACCAGGAAGGACCCACCCCCGATCAAATTGCTTCGTATTGTAGAAGAATGTCCAGATACATAACTAATAAGTCTATATAGTTCCTTATGAGATTTGTACATATTTTGGATATCTATTTTTGTGTTCCTTCACTTGATTTTTCTAACCTAGTTAGAAAGTGTAGTGACTGATAATAATAATAATAATAATAATAATAATAATAATAATAATAATAATAATAATAATAATAGCAATAGTAATAATAATAAATATGAGCATCAATTCACTTTGTTTTGTTCCCAGGAGTCAGAAGTCTAAAAACTAGCAATAATAAATTAATAACCACATTTTATCTGAAATCTCCTTTGCCGCTTCCAAAATCGCTGTTCTCCAATCCTTTGCACCATTATGGACATGTACGGCGCGTCTCGCCCACAGATAGCTGGCGCCCAATCGCCAGCCAGCACTAATTAAGTGCCAAGATTTGAGGTCACTTCGCACCTAGTCGCGACGCAGCACTAATTAGGTGCTAAAATTTCCATTCGCACCACTTGATACACACCCTCCTAAGGCTCCCTCGGAACAAATACTCCAAGCTCTCTACTCTTGAATCACGACGCAAAGTATTTGATGTATGCATGATCTATAAACTTTCAAATAGTGTAATGTAGGTGCTCGTGAGCGATTCACCATTCTGGTTGTCCTCGGGCACACTCTCTCATTCAGTTCTGTGCCATGTATTAGGTCGGTCCATAATTTTTGAGACACTACATGCGTCTGAATAATCTTTTGATAGGTATTGAGGCTCTTCAAAGATGTCTTGCAACTCAGCACACAAGCTCGCCTGTTCGACAGCCTAGCCATCTCGTTTGCTGGTTGCTTTATTTAGCTAGGATTCCGATTTTTTTCGAAACTATTTCTGAGCCCCTTTGTTCATGACTATCGATTAGAATCTTCCACGCGTCAAGCTATATGAAGGACTAAACAGACGATAGTTGAGGGCACGCTCTCTCAATCCACTGTTACCTCTACTCAGGTTTCCTTTTTTATTCGAAGATGATCCACACTCCAACCACCCTGTGACTGAAAATCTCGATGCTCCATCCGGCGCTATTGGAAAGTAATCTGCAACAATGTGAGCTTGTGTTCTTTTTTGCGCTATTCGTCAGAGGTTTTTGGTGTTACAAGGTGAGAGTACTGAGACACCTCGATAAAGTCGCTAAGGTTTGAATATATGGAGTTTGTCTCTCACATGCTCTGTGCCCGAATCGGCTCTTAACCCGATCTCACTTCATCGTGTTCCTATTGGTTTCCCATGGTTCCTTCGAATGACTATCGGTGATGTGGAGAGGGTGCAGTGTGCTAACAAATCCACAAGCCGCAGTAGCTTACCTCAATGATTCGGGAGTTCTGACAGCAAAAGTCCCAACTCCCTCTGAATTCTTAACTTCCTGAGTCGTTGGCGGAATACGACAGGGGCTTTGCGCTGGGAACTGGCACCAACTAATAACAGTGTAACTGACGAAGATAATCGTCGTTAGCTTGATGGCGATGCCTTCGAATTGAAAGCAAAGTAAGACAAAATATTTTTTCTGAGGTGTTCGAGTACACTTTGCTAAGAAAATTCATGAAAAATTTGAGACTCTGAGGCGGTCATTTTTT